CAGCTATGGGGTTGTAATTCTAGAGATGATCAAGGGAATTCGGCTTTCAAATTGGGTGGTAGAGGAAACTGAGGAACAGGAAGCAGAGCTTACAAAGTTTGTCAGGATAGTGAAGACGAAAATCCAGTGTGGAGAAGATTCTTGGATAGAGGATATATTGGATCCAAGATTGGAAGGGCAGTTTAGCAGGAATCAGGCAGCTATCCTGGTTGAGATAGGTCTATCCTGCATAGACGATGATAGAAACAAGCGACCTACAATGGATTCAGTAGTCCAAGCTCTACAAGAATGTCAAGATGAATTAGTAACATATACTCCAAACAACCTGTAATATCATTTTGTTTTTGCCTATGTTTTTTTTTTTTTTGGTTTTAATTTTGCCTTTGTTGTGGGTTTGTATTTTAGTTCTGTGTCTAGGAAACTTTTAGTCTTTGGCCATAAAGCACTGTTCAGATTGGTAACCTTAGTGTGCAGTGTTTGTAAAGAAAACTAACGAAAAATTAATTTAATCTGATACATGCTTGAGTTTCTTTCTGGTGTCGGAGCAAATTAAATGAAAATCAATGAATGTAAATGAAGGGTTTAAGACATTTGAATTGGGAAGTGAGTGGGGATTCTTGTTTTGAAAGTTACTTATTTGCTTCCAGGGCACATAAACTTACCATTCAGCTGCTTAAAGAACACACATGGACTAATGTCTCATATGCACCACAAACAGTCAATCTGTAACATATCAAAAAAAAGAGGAAGGATTTCATGATCCCTGTTGATCAAGTTCTAATATAAAAAACTAGACACCTTGAGTTTCCCCTCAGGTCTATCAATAATTTGTCCTGAAGAACTGTAGCCTAATGAAGAGTATCCATAAAGTAGCAAAAGAAAAATCATTCTGTCAGGCAATTGAAGAATTTTTTAACTGGTAAAAATAGACAACGATATTAATCCCATGATTTCCTCTCGTCGATTAAACAAATGCCTTTCATCTATTGATCCCATGATCTTTTCCCATGATTGATGCAATCATACTAATTTTCATTCATCTTCATTTTCTGCAATCAAGCTTGAATACTTCTGGCATTATATCTACTATATTCATCTCATTCCTTTGACATGTGTTTTAGCTTTTTAGGGTCTGTTTCTTAGTTCAAGATCACTCTTTCTAGCTTGAACTATTGACAGCTTATAATCACCAAATTGAGATTTCAACTGAACTTAAAGACAGAATGTGTACATGCAGACTCTGTGACATAATAGGCTAATACAATTACTTCTCTCATGCCATTTTCACCTCATGTATGACTCCTTTGGTGTATCAAATGAAGAAAGGAAACAAACCAAAAGATTAGTGAGGTTCAGTGGAAGATAAGAGAATCAAATTGAACTCATTGAGCAGACAGTTTCAAAATGTTTCTGAAAACAGATCTATTTGGCTTATGTTTATTTACCAGGGAAGCTTTTCAATATATTTTCTTTCTTTGAAGAAAGAAGCATTGGTTTTTTATTCGAAATTAACTAGAGAAGAGGTCTAAATTGGTCAAAGGTGTTAAGATTCCATTGAGTGTTTTTCTTCAAAATTGTTTTTGTCTCAAACAACATTATTCTAGGCCTATTAAGAAGGTTGATTCTGAACCAAGTCTGATAAACCAACAATGATTTGTATGCTGAGTTATTATTACTCACTATTACAGCAATTGTCCGAGCCATAGGTCCCACAATCTACTGAATTTATATTAACCCTACACCACTGCTATGAATTAGAGCTCGGATTTTCTCATTCCAATAGAATAGGGGTTCGAAACTGTAACTCGTTTTAAGAGAACTGCAACTGCAAGAAAAAAATTCATATGACAGCTAAAGAAGGTAGTTTAGTACACGAGACTCCCGCTATTGCGAGATATACAACCTTACCTCTGTGTGAGGAGAGGATTTTTGGCCACTCGAAACCTTGATGTACAGGTCGCAGTGGAGCAACCTTACCCCATCACTGCAGCAATGCCCACAAGAATTTCATTGCTAGTCCAAGATTTCCCAGCCGCCACTTAAACTAAGTCAACTGTCATTAAAAAGAGAAACAACTCCAAACCCAATTCCCCCCCCCCCCGGGGGCCAAAAAAAAAAAAAGATTTATAACCATTTACAATGAATATTACTTACTAGATATAGATATGTAGAGCCGGGATATAGAGAGGTACGTTCATGTTAATTAATGTAGTGGCTCTAATTATTAAGAGTAATTTTATTTGGACTTAAAAATTTGACTTAATTTGCTGGCATAATTATGTGGCTTCTGTGAAACTATTAAATCAACGTCAAATTCCAATGTTTGATGAAGCCTACAGTCAATTCAAAGATCATAGTGAATTAGACCAATAAATTATGTCTCAATAATATTGCTCATTATCAATAATGTTAGTGTTTGACTAAAGAGATGGCTGCTGGCCGCCTTATAGTTGCCTCCTTAAATGCCAATTACTGCTCTTACTTCTTCTTCACTTTAATAAATAAAATATACATGACAGATATTTCTTTTAAGGCATCAAATCCACTTGAAATATTTATATAGCCATTATGTCATAAACCAATTTTGATTATCAGGTCAACCGTAAGATACAGAGATTTTACAAATACATGGCACTATGGCAGAGCTGAGGTTGGCCTACAAATCGGAAACTAGTCCTCTCCATCAAACAAGTTTGGGTTTAAAAAGGGTAGTCTAATTTTGCAGTAAGTCTTCAAAAAAATCAGTTACGACTCAAAACAGTTAGAATCCATCTTAAAATGTTAGAATCGATTCCAAATATTAGCATTCATTCCTACAATGTTAGCATCGATCACAAACAATCCCATTTTGTAAAACTTTAACAAGCACACGTTCAGCGTAAGAAAATCTTTCTTACGACATTCAAAGGCAAATGACTCGTAATATCCTTCCCGAGGAGAGAAGACTACCTTGAATGCCTCATTCAAAGTCAGATTTTTCACATATTCAAAGACAACCATCCCAAATTCTCAATTATAAAAGTCTTATAGGAAAAAAAAGGCTACATCATATTCTATATTACATTTTTGTGTCCAATTTTCATACGCCTCCTGCTCGAAAACCATCATGACGGTTTTCAGCTTGTTCATTGTTCTGCTATATGGAGTTACAATGGCTTTGGCACAAGCAGGGCTTCAGGGCTTGCCAAGATTAAGCCATGGAAGCTCCCTATCTGTTGAGAAAACGAATGACTTCCTAATATCCCCAAATGGGACATTCTCTGGTGGATTTTACAACGTGGGAACGAATGCCTATTGTTTTTCAATCTGGTTCACCAATTCTTTGAACAAAACAGTTGTCTGGATGGCCAACAGAGACAGTCCAGTGAACGGAAAGCAGTCGCAGCTAGATCTCCACGGAAATGGCAACCTGGTGTTGACTGATGCAGATGGCTCAATCACATGGTCAACCAATACATTTTCGGATGCAATTGTGGAAGCTCGGCTTCTTGAAACCGGAAATCTGATACTGATCAACCAAGCAGAGGAGATCATCTGGCAGAGTTTTTATTTCCCTACAGACACTCTCCTTCCAGGTCAAATACTGTCCAAGAACATAACCTTGGTCTCTATGAGGAATCGAGGTACATACTTTTCTGGATTCTACAACTTCAAATTTGATGATAACAATGTATTAGACCTCATATACAATGGTCCTCTAGTTTCAAGTATCTATTTGCCAAGTACAGCAATATCTGTTTTCGATAGTGGCAGAACACCCTACAACAGTTCCAGATCAGCATTCGTTAACAGCTGGGGGCAGTTTATATCAAGTGACAATTTTATTTTCTATGCCTCTGATTATGGGGTTGGTCCCAAACGACGCTTAACATTAGATTATGATGGGATTTTGAGATTGTATAGCTTAGATGATTCAACTGGGCTTTGGGAAATCTCATGGTTACCTGGTGGCTTAAGTCCTTGTCAGGTTCACGGGTTATGTGGACCAAATGGTGTTTGCAGTTACAATCCCCTACCTACTTGCACTTGCCCTCATGGTTTTGATAGAAATGATCCTTCAGATTGGTCTAAAGGTTGCTCACCTCGATTCAATCTGACTTGTGATCCACTTGCATGGGATTTCATTGAGCTTCAGTATACAGATTACTTTGGATATGACATGGACTTCTATGGTCGTAACATGACCTTTGAAGCATGCAGGAATGCCTGCCTGAGCGATTGCAAATGTGCAGGCTTTGGATATGCACTGGATGGTCTAGGACAGTGCTTCCCCAAAAGTACTCTCCTGAATGGTTTTAGCATGCCAAGTTCTACCCAAATCATGCATTTAAAAGTCCCAAGAGCCATGGTGATCTCTCAGGCGGAACAAAGGCAGGTAAAAACAAATGACTTGAACTGCTCAAATACCGAAATTGTATTCAGGGGCGACGATGCTGATGGAGAAAATAACAACAGAAATGGGTATATGAAATACTTAATTGCATTTGTAGGTTCATTTGGAGTATTTGAAATGATTTGCATTGGTTTAGGCTGGTGGTACGTCTTTCGAAAACACGCCAATGAGCAGGTGATAAACATGGGCTACACTGTACTGGCTATGGGTTTCAAACGTTTCACTTTCGCAGAACTAAAGAAGGCAACTCAGAACTTCAACCAAGAAATAGGAAAGGGGGGCTTTGGAACAGTCTACAAAGGCATTTTGGACAACGAGAGAGTTGTAGCTGTGAAGAGATTGGAAGGCATTTTGCAAGGAGATACAGAATTTTGGGCAGAGGTGGGCATCATAGGGAGCCTCAACCATAGAAATTTGGTGAAAATGTGGGGATTCTGTGCTGAAGGTGATCACAAGCTTTTGGTCTACGAATATATGGCGAATGGTTCACTGGACCAATTCTTGTTTTCAGACTCATCCAGGACATTAGAATGGTACCAGAGGTATAACATCGCCCTTGGGACAGCGAAGGGCTTGGCTTATATCCATGAAGAGTGCTTGGAGTGGATACTCCATTGTGATATAAAACCTCAGAACATATTGTTAGATGATCATCTTGAGCCTAAGGTGACTGATTTTGGTATGTCAAAGCTTTTCAAACGCAACCATGACATGATGTTTTCTAGAGTCCGTGGCACAAGAGGTTATCTAGCCCCGGAATGGATGATGAACCTAAGTATTAATGCAAAGGCTGACGTCTACAGTTTTGGCGTCGTCTTGTTGGAATTACTGACTGGGAAGAGTGCATCTAGTTTCCAGTGGACTGGAGTCGAGGAGAAAGTGTATAATGACATGGAACAATGGGCGAAGCATACGATTAAACAAGAGGGGCCTAAGGGAATAATTGACCAGAGATTGAATGATGAATATGATACTGAGGAGGTTGAAAGATTAATAGAAGTTGCATTGTTGTGTTTGGGAGAAGATCGGAGTACCAGGCCACCTATGAGTAAGGTGTTGGAGCTTCTAGTTGAGTGTGATAAGTCAAACACAAAGTGAGGAGATTCATAATTAGATCATAAACAGGCCAACTGTTTAGATTTCTTTTTTAGCTATTGTAATTCTAGAAACTAGGGCTGTATTTCGTAATGTTTTTGTTTTCATGTTCTTCTATAATTGAAAATGTATGTAGTAGAAGAAACAATTCTTGATGTCCATTTTACAGGTACAAGTTCTAAACAAGGAAGATTAAAGACTTAAGAGTACTCAATTTAAGTTTTAATCATCTCAATCAACCTTATTTCTACTACTAAATCATATTTCTCTATCTAGGTGAAGTCGAGTGAACATGGTACGATTTTTGCAACACCCGTTTGCCATATACGAGCAGTCCTTCCACACGAATTCAAACGGACTTGTTTGATTATCGTATTGTGGAGAGAATTAAAAAGATATTTCTGGTTTTTGAACTTTGAATCATTTGCTTAACATAACATGTCACATGTGATATAGAACAAGACTTACGGATTTCTATATTTTTCTTTTTATTTTAGTTTATTTTTTTAGTTGGAATAAGAGTTTAGTTGGGAATATTCTAGAGCAATTAGTTACCTAAATCATGTCAATTTTTTTAATTCATTAGACACACGTTTATTTTTTTTTGGTAACTTTTCTAAGGCTAGAGTTTTGGAAACTTTAGGGTTTTGAGTTTTTTCCTTATAAATTATCTTATGTATTACGATTCTATTAAGTTAATCAATCAATAATAAAAATATTTCAAGAGTTATTCTTGTCAACAGATAATAGAGACACGAACAGATCACTGTCTCAAAGTTTAAAGAATAAAAACACTCTGAATCCACAGAAAAGAGGAAGTGAACACTTTTCAAAATATTGTAATATTCAATTCATTAACTACATAGAATTGTAATAAATATGACAATTTATAAGAAAATATAAAACCATAAGGCTTAACCAAAATAGAAACAAATTTCTAACTTAAAAATAGTTACCTAAAACAATAAATCATATGTCTAATGTTTTAGCAAACTTAAATATCTTAGAAAACTACTAATTAAGTCATCATTTTAACAACGCAATAAAATAAAATATAAAAATTACGAATCTTGGTCTACATCATACCCTCCCTCCCTCCCTCCCTCTTGAGAAATATTCGTCCTCGAGTTTCAATTGTTTGTAATAGCTCAATATGTCTTTGCTTGTTTGCATTCGTTTTGTACTTTAGTTTAATTAAATTATTTTCTTAAAATAACATGCCACGTGTGATTAATTTCAACTCTTAATTTTCCCCAAAAAATATATTCAAATCTCGTACAACATCGTATTAATCCTAGTAAACACAAAGAGTGCCTAATTTAGGCGAAAAATGTTACCTGTGCGTGCAAGATCCTGCACAATATAAAAAACGAGAACAGATCTCTCCCTTGGTGAACTTCGAGTGAGCCAGTTGAGTGACCAACCACGTTGCTTGGAACAGCCTGCGAGGTCCGGTGGTAACCTGGAACGGCAACGGGAGACCCTGGGGGAGCAGAAGAACGATCCAGTAAGGCTGGAAGAGGTTCCTGGAACAAAGAGGAACAAGTTAGAAGGGCGCCGGAGTGTTTTCCGGCGTATCCCCTCCAACGATCTAGTCAGTCTTTGAGAGAGAGAGAGGAATGAGAAAACACTGAGTGTGTATTGTAGTAGAGAGTTTTTTGTTGCATACCGGTCTTGCCTTTTGCAAGGAGTATTTATACCTCAAAAGCTCATGATTGCTGTCAGTGTAGTCAGTAGGTGATCATTAGGTACAGGCAGTGTGCGCACTGATTCTGATGAGGAATGTCTTCTCTTCTTAACTGCTCGGGGTCCCGAGCAATCAATGCTGGGTCATCGGGATGCCGACGGTACAATGTACTCCTCTCGGGGAGGATGCAATAAATGCTCTGTATTAGGAGCATTTATTGCCTTTCATTTCCGAGCCTTACCGCATTGAATGCGGTCTCATCAAGGGAATGGTGCAATTAATTGTTTGCTTTTCCAAGTCGCGTGTCAGCAACGACATGCGTTTTCTCTGTCTTCGATGTGATATCATTTGCCACGCGTCCATCCCCCATTGGCTGTAGCCCCTGCATTCCAGTACGTTCTGACACTAATTGTGTAAGACGAGGTCATGATGAATAGCCTAGGCTAATGACCTGTACGTCAATAGCTTATCCTGGAGTAGAGGAGGCGTCCAGGACGGGGTACACCTCGGCACCGAGGAAAGGCTCATCTCGGAACCGAGGGAGGGATACCGACCGAGGTACCATATCAGACCGAGGCTACGTGTTGGTTGTAAAACGTACTGAATGCCATGATCCTATATGACGAGTACCTCGGGGGCGAGGACCTTTGCGCGCCGATGGTGCTTGATCTTAGCAACAGTGTTTTGTAATACCGAGGACACGTGTCTTCATCATAGAGTATTTCAGAAAAGTCCCATCAACTGCCCCCCAGCCTTCGATCTTCTGACACCGAGGGCACGCGTCGTAAGGAGACGAAGGGTTTCCCAACAACCACAATGCTTCATCATTGCCTCGAGCCGCTTTCCCGGCTTAGGATGTCGTGTGCATTAAATGCGCCGTTTCGTTTTTCGCGCCCAATGATGAAAACTGCTCTATATAAATGGGGCTCCTCTTGTATTTTCTTGTTTCGCCATTCCGAACTTCCTCAAGAGAGCCTTTTCTTGAATCTTCGCCGGAGATCTCTTTCCTCTTCCATCGTCGACTGCCCATTCTTCCTTAAAGTCTTAAGGCCAGCAGACCCATCGTTGCTTCTGAACTTTCTGGAAGGAGTCGCTTTAAGGTTTTCCAGAAAAAACTCCGTTTGACATTCGGGTGAGTTCTAGTATCTTCTTTCTTTTCTTCCTCCTATCCCTTTTTGTTTTCCGATGACTGGAGGTGTCTCCGGTTGATACATAGCGACTAATCCTCGGGAAACTTCCTCAGGGATTTTTAAGAAAAAAACACCCTCCACTTTCTCACTTTCTTAGAGATGCCTCGTCGTCGCCCTGCTCCCGAGAATCCTCAGGCTGGTTCTTCGGGGTCGGGGAAGTATAAAGTAAAGGGTGGTGAGCAGATTAATAGGTTTAAGGTCAAGTACGGCATTCCCCCGTGCGTAGATATAGAGGATTATGACCCGGTGGTGCACTCTCCTACCCTCGGGGCCGAGGATGCTATGCCATTTTATACCAAGGCCATAATAGAGGGAGGAATTAGGTTTCCTTTACCCCCTTTACTTCTTCAGTTCCTCTCTCACTTCCGCCTCTTCCCCGGGCAATGTTGCCTTAATGTCTTCCGAATAATTATGGGGGTCTTAGAGCTCAATAGGCGTCTCGGGGTAAATATTGGGCTCAACGATCTCCTTTTTTGTTATTCCCTCCTGAGAGTCATGCCTCACCAACACTTCTACCTCAAAGCCAGGGACCCCTCCATGTACCTTGTAACTCATCTTCCCGACTCGGACAAGGGGTACAAGGACGATATTCTTATTTTCAAGGGATCTTGGCAGAGAGGTGTTGGTCCCGAGTATAACGACTTGTTATGCCCTCTGGAATGGAGAACGACAAGTACGTCGGTTCCTTCGGGTTTATTATTTCGTTCTCCAGATTTCCCATGTTCATGACTACTTTTTTGTTTGTGCAGATATTCCTGCTCGGGAAACAGCTCCTCCCCCTCGGTCGCTGGTGAACTTTGCCGACCTAATCACGGTTTGGAGATTTACTGGTGACAACGGGTTCGGCCGGGCTGCCCACATCCTGCTGAATTATACCCCCGGGTATAAGAAATTTTCACAGCTTCCTCAGCCTTTTGAGCCTTCGCAGTGGTCTGAACTCTTCGATCAGGCGGCGAGGCAGGAGGTCGAGGAAAACTTGGAGGAAGACCCTGATCGGGCTTCGGAGGCAGAGGTAGAGGGAGTAGTTGAAGAGCTCGGGGTCAGAGAGGACGTTGTTCCTTCGGACGCCGAGGTGGGGACTTCGGGAGGAGACTTGTGGCCAGACTTCCAAGTTCTACAATCTTTAGACGCCGAGGACGCCCTCGAGGTCGCGATGTCCAGCACGCCTCGCATTGACCTGGGGTTCCTGAGGCAGAGGCAAGCCCTTGCTGCCGGGAGGGGTCGAGGATCGACCGGCGGCGCCCCTCTGCAGGGACCAGTTCCACCCCATCCTCAAGAGTTCTCAGTCGGGGTCAAGTGCGTGACCGGGATCCTCAGGTAGAGGAGGAGAGAAGGGTCAAACATCGGCACGATGGCCTCGGCCGAGGATCCAGGGCACCTTCCGCTCAGCAGCAAAGCGGGAGAGGCCGTGGGTTACCCCCTGCTCCTCCGCAACAGCAGCAACAGCAACAGCAACGACAACAACAACAACAGCAGCAGCAGACTCCCCCTTCCCTTCCGCCGACAGTGGAAGCCGCGGAGTGGAATCCCCGAGCCACCGATCACATGAACCGAGTGATCAGGGTCGATGATTCCATTTTGCTGGATCCTCATGTCGCCAATGCAGTGAGTGAGACACTGCATTTCGAGGCTGACATGGCGGCTCACAGGGGGCGATCAACGAACGTGTTGTTCCGCTCCATCATCCAGAATTCCTGGTGGTAAGTTCATTTTTGCTTTGGTTTCTTCTCTCTCGCTTTCCATTTTTGTGACACGCCTTTTTCCCTCCTTTGCAGGCTACCCAGCAGATCTCCATAATAGCTGCCCGGTACCATGGGTCTAGGATGGACCTCCAGCGGGCCCGAGAGCAGAAGGAAGAGGCGGAGGGGGCCCTCGCCCGAGCAATGGAGGACGTAGCTGCCAGGGACTCTACCCTGGCGGGGCAGGCTGCTCAAATCGAGCAACTCCTCAAGGATGCCGAGTCGGCTAAGGTTGGCGCTGAAAAGCTAAGTGCTGCCCTTGCCGATGCTGAGGGGAGGATTACCGAGCAGACGCGGCGGCTTTCTGCCGCGGAGGAGAGGGCGGTAGGCTCAGAGGAAAGCTGTCTGGCTCTCACCCAGGAGCTGGACAGGATCAAGCCGAGGCAC